CACATGACATGCAACACAAATACCAACAACAGTCATGTGTGTTGGTGTCAGATCTGATCAATTTGATCAATTTGACTCGTTGATGATGGTGTCAATACTTGTATCAATAACCTGACTGATCACACATTGACATACCTGTGCATACTTGTACATACTTGTACATACCAAACTACACTGTAAATACTCGATCCAATGTATAGTTGATGTTCACATTTGTCTTGGATCGCGTCGATTTAAACTGTCATGTATTACAACTTGGATATACAATGCCAACAATATGATCATCACGCAACCAACAATCAACAACGACAACCATCACATATTGACACTGTGTCCATTGTATCCATTGTATCCAATATGCACACATTGGTGTATATAGTGATCGTATAGAGTCGACTGATGCAATACAATCATATCAAACATACTATTGCATTATTGATCATCGTGTTTGCATGATAATGGTGTGTATGGTTGACTGAACCACCACATACACGTCATGATATACTTGCAGCAGTATATCATATTACACTGTTGATATCTTGCATTCAATGTTAATGCAATGTATCAACACACTTGATATGGTTGGTGTTGATTGTTGCAGTCGTCGAGTGCCGTCATTGGTCATGCATTACCAGTTGTGTGTGATTGACATTGACCATCATGTCATGTATTCAAATGCAACATATCAACATACACCATGACATGTGACATGTGTGATTGACTACAACTGGTGTGGATTACAATCAATTGTGCATGGTAGTTTGATATCGATTGCAGTTGTTGATCGATACTCGAACTACCCGAGTTTGTATTCCTGGTTGTATTCATGACTGGATGTTTGATTGGATACTTGACACGACTGGTCATATATGGTTTGCACAACAGTCTGGATTGTACAATGATTACTGTCCAGATGTACATGTCAAGTGCATGTATAACCAGGTTGACGATATTGACCAGTTGACACATGCTGATCAACGCAACTGGTGTGTATTGTATGTATTGTGTGCATATACATGTATGGCTTGATCACTCGGATGTACATACTCGACATATACACCGACACGACAATCAGATTGACAACCACCATCACAATCA